ATGCACTGGAACGCACCATAAATGCACTGGAACGTAACAAACGCACTGGAACGCAACAAACGCACTGGAAACACCATAAATGCACTGGAACGCACCATAAATGCACTGGAATGTACCATAAACGCACTGGAACGCACCATAAATGCACTGGAACATGCCTGGAACGCACATGTTCCTATTTAAATTGAAGTGGGGAAAAAATGAACTGGAATGCATCAAAAAGGCACTGGAACACGCCAAAAAACACAAACACATGCATCTGGACTGCGTTTCCATAGTGTGAACCAGCCCTTAGGTTTTTTTTTACCTGGTGATCCAGCCAGTAACACACTTCCTGTCTTAGGGTGTCTCCAATCCGGATGGAAGAGCAATGGAGACACCTTTGGACAGCAGCATTGTCAGTCTGGGGGGGGGGGGGAGGGGAGTGTTCGATGGACTAGCAGGCTTAGATGGACTTGACTACCAAACTGAAGCGGAACTCCAGCACACGCTTTATAAGCGGATACAGCTACAGTTTTTTCTCCTTTGGGGATAAAGGTTGTACATAAAAGCTGATCATTGTAGAAAAAGCCCTGTCAGTGGTAAATGGTTTGTCCCAACCCTCTAACTGCCACTTTTGCTGGACAACTTGGTCTGTTAAAGAAGCTGAAAAATACTTACTGACCGGATCACCAGACAAAGAAGGAAAAAAAGCCCAATGGCCTCGTGTACACATGAGCTCCTGTAGACGTTAAGCCCTCCAGGCTGGGTTCACATACATGTGGTGCGGTATATCACGTGATTCGCAGGAGAACCGCACCGCATTCCTGTGCGAATCACGTGATTTGTGTGCGGTGCGATCGGAGTCATACATTTTGTATGGCTCTAATCACACCGCACCAAAAACACACGCAGGACCCTTTTTTGGGCCGCCGCACTAGAATCGGATCGCATGGGTATTCACACCTATGCGATCCGATTTTGCACATCGCACCGGGGTGTGATTCTGATGCGGTGCGGAATTCACACAGAAAACGCTGAGGATTCCGTCTTTGGTTGTAACATGACAAAATGTGGAACATTTCAAGGGGTATGAATACTTTTTCAAGGAACTGTAAATGCCTTTTCTCATCAGCAGTATATAGAAGTCTTGTGACTTCTAACAGTGTCTGGTCGAGCACTGGTTAATCTTTTAGGAGTTTTCTTTCTGCTCTAGGATGCAGAACCCCTGACCTCTGTCTGGACAGTGCTGATGGGAGGGTGTATGTGATCAGCACAGGGCCAAAGAAAAAAAAAAACCCTCTAGCAATACACACCAAACTGAGCATGTGTAGCTTACCCCCAAGGCTTTGTTCTATCAGCAGATGGATTGGAGACAACCCGTCTTTGCGTCTTTGGTTGTAACATGACAAAATGTGAAACATTTCAAGGGGTATGAATACTTTTTCAAGGAACTGTAAATACCTTTTCTCATCAGCAATATATAGCAGTCTTGTGGCTTCTATCCGTGTCCAGCAAAGCACCGATTAATTTTGTAGGAGTTTTTTTCTGCTCTAGGAAGATGCAGAACCCCTTACCTCTGTCTGGACAGTGCTGATGGGTGGGAGCATGTGATCAGCACAGGACCAAAAAAAAAGAAAAAAAAAAACCTCTCTAGCAATACACACCAAACTGAGCATGTGCAGCTTGCCCTCCAAGGCTCTGTTCTATCAGCAGATGGATTGGGGACAACCCGTCTTTGGTAGTAACATGACAAAATGTGGAACATTTCAAGGGGTATGAATACTTTTTCAAGGCACTGTAAATACCTTTTCTCATCAGCAGTATATAGCAGTCTTGTGACTAACAGTGTCGCTGAGCACCGGTTAATATTGTAGGAGTCTTCTATCTGCTCTGGGAGGATGCAGAACCCCTGACCTCTGTCTGGACAGTGATGGAAGGGTGCATGTGATCACCACAGGACCAAAGCAAAAAAGCCTCTCTAGCAACACACACCAAACTGAGCATGTGCGGCTTTGCCCCCAAGGCTCTGTTGTATCAGCAGATGGATTGGGGACAATCCATTTTTGGTTATAACATGACAAAATGTGTAACTTTTCAAGAGGTGTGAAGACTTTTTTGTATATATGATCTACTTTCCCATCTAATACGAGGATTAGAAATCGCCCATGCTGACTGAGAGGGTGAAGTTCCACTTTAATGGCAGCGGGATGTTGTTTCAGATTGATGTGCGGAGTAGCAGTGCAGCCTGTAACAGAACAGCATTGTGCTCCAGTGACCTGGGACAGTGACTTGTTTCACCCCCTTGGCGGTGAGCGGTGCTATGCGGCTAATCGCTGCCAGGATCCCAGTGCATGAGATACAGGACAAGCTGCACAATACCCAGCGACGCGATGACGTGTGACTAATGACGGCTACCCGTTCCAGCTCATTGCCCAGAAGCAGGTGACGCACTATATAGAAGGTACAGCTGTGTGTCCTCACACCAAAGGCATCGGAGGGACAATCCAAAGGCTGCTGAATGGCCGTATTTATGTATAAACAATGAAGAGAAAAGCGTGCATTATACGCCAATTATAGCAAGACAGATTTTCCTGGGGTCCGCACCCGGGAACAAGAGCGCTGGCAGCGACAGAGGAGAGAACCACAAAAGGAGACAGGCAGTTCACAACGCTGACGGGAAATTGTGCTTCAATTACCAACACAGGACTGCATCCCCGGTCCCAGCCACCAGTGTATTCAACTGACACTCATTTTCAAAAAATATTTGTCTTATATTATTTTGTAATAAAAATGCATTTCAGCATACAATAAATATATATATACAGTTGTGTTCAAAATAATAGCAGTGTGTTGAAAAAAGTGAATAAAGCTGAAAATCCTTCTAATAGCTTTTATTTCCATCCACACAAATGCATTGGGAACACGACACATTCTATTCCAAATCACAACATGAAGAAAAATACATCAAATTTGTGTTGTTCCTCTAAAAAAATGGAAGAAAAGTGAATATTAGACGGTTTAAAAAAATCGCAGTGTTTGTATTCTTCTTTACAAACTCAAACATTCACTATATAAACTGAGAAATGTTTGAAGATTTTGCTTTCCTTTGAATGACTTCATGAATATTTGGTTGTAGTCGCACTGTTTCTGAGAACTGCTGTACATCTGTGTTGCATGGAGTCACCCAACTTCTGGCCCCTGTGATCAGGTATTCCAGCCCAGGATGATTGGACAACATTCCACAGTTCTTCTCTATTTCTTGGTTTTGCCTCAGAAACTGCATTTTTGATGTCACCCCACAAGTTTTCTATTGGATTAAGATCCAGGGATTGGGCTGGCCACTCCATAACGTCAATCTTGTTGGTCTGGAACCAAGATGTTGCACGTTTACTGGTGTGTTTGGGGTCGTTGTCTTGTTGGAACACCCATTTCAAGGGCATTTCCTCTTCAGCATAAGGCAGCATGACCTCTTCAAGTATTCTGATGGATTCAAACTGATCCATGATCCCTGGTATGCGATAAATAGGCCCAACACCGTAGTATGAGAAACATCCCCATATCATGATGCTTGCACCACCATGCTTCACTGTCTTCACAGTGTACTGTGGCTTGAATTCAGTGTTTGGGGGTCGTCTGACAAACTGTCTCCGCCCACTAGACCCAAAAAGAACAATCTTACTTTCATCAGTCCACAAAATGTTGCGCCATTTCTCTTTAGGCCAGTCAATGTGCTCTTTGGCAAATTGTAACCTCTTCAGCACGCGTCTTTTTTCCAACAGTGGGACTTTGCGGGGACTTCTTGCAGATAGCTTGGCTTCACATAGGCGTCTTCTAATTGTAACAGTCCTCACAGGGAACGTCACACCTTCTTTCATCTTCCTGGAGCTGATTGTTGGCTGAGTCTGCGCCATTTTGGCTATTCTTCTATCCATTCCAATGGTAGTTTTTCGCTTTCTTCCACGTCTTTCAGGTTTTGGTTGCCATTTTAAAGCATTTGCGATCATTTTAGCTGAGCAGCCGATCATTTTCTGCACTTCTTTATATGTTTTCCCCTCTCCAATCAACTTTTTAATCAAGGTACGCTGTTCTTCTGAACAATGTCTGGAACGACCAATTTTCCTCAGAATTTCAGAGAGAAATGCACTGTAACCAGCATGTCCAACATTTGCTGCCTTCCTTCCTTAAATAAGGGCAATAATTGCCACCTGTTTTTCAAAGAATGAATGACCTCACTAATAGAACTCCACACGGCTATTATTTTGAACACGCCCCTTTCAATGAGTGATTCAATGGCACAGAATCAGCAGCATGCATGTCATGACTGTTGGGTCTGTTGGATTTCTATTACTCTACTACACCTGCTAGGAAATTATTTGCCATGTAGAAATATCATTTCTACCAAAAACAGTGATTGATCCGGTTAGTGATGTCTGACTGCTATTATTTTGAACACAACTGTATATATACACACACACATTTAAATATATTTTGAAATGCATTGAACACGGCCAAAATTGTAGTATTTCAAATATATGTCAATATATTTGGGAATAATATTTTTAAATATATTTAAAATATATTTTTCTTCCATGTGGGTTTGGCTCAATGAACAGTCGGCTATTCTAGGCTACAGTCACACCTCACCATGCCGATTTTTTTTTATTTGGAGCAGAGTTGCACATTTTTGCAGCTTTTGTCAGGCATTTTTCAACTAGATGTTTAGAGCGCCGCTAAAAAAGGGGCGGAAAGCTGCTGTTTGAGCAGAAAAAGCTTGAAAAAGTGCTCAAAGCCGGTCAGATCTTTTAACTACTTGCCAACTGCAGATAGCCGAATGACGGCTAAACTGCCGCCGGCCAGTTCTGGGTGGGCATCATATGACGTCCTCCCAGAATGCGCTCTCCTGGGGGCGTGCACCCGGGGATCTCCGTGATCGCTGTGTCCTCCGGACACAGTTGATCACGTGATCGCTGTGTCCTCCGGACACAGTTGATCACGTGATCGCTGTGTCCTCCTCCGGACACAGTTGATCACGTGATGTGGAAAAAGGCCAATCACAGCGGCCTTTTAACACGTGATCAGCCGTGTCCAATGACACGCTGATCACCGGGAAATGCAATTGCCGGTTCTCGGCTGCACTTTCCTCACGCTGTCATAACGCGAAGAAAGTACTGCCGAGTACCGGCAGTTGTCAGAGCGGGGATCGGCACCGATCACCAGGGCACTGATGATCAGTGCCCTGATGATCGTGCCCAGCAGTGCAACCCACCAGTTCCGCCGACCTGTGCCCAAAAGTGCGCCCACCTGAGCCACCCAGCAGTGCACCCACCTGTGCCCACCAGTGGCCATCAGTACAGCCCAGCAGTGCTGCCAGTCAGTGCCCAGCAGTTGCCCCAGTCAATGCCCAGCAGTGATGCCCATCAATGCCACCTATCCGTGCCACCTCATTAGTGCTGCCTATCAGAGCCCATCAGTGCTGCCTTATCAACGCAAATCAGTGAAGGAGAAAAATTACCTGTTTTCAAAATTTTATAACAGAAACAAAAACTTTTTTTTTTCCAAATTTTTTGCACTTTTTTTTTGTTTATAGCGCAAAACGTAAACTGCCCAGTGGCAAATAAATACCACCAAAATAAAGCTCTATTTGTGAGAAAAAAATGATAAAAATTTCATATGGGTACAATCTTGCATGACCGCGCAATTGTCAATCAAAGTGCGACAGCACTGAAAGCTGAAAATTGGCCTAGACAGGAAGGGGATATAAGTGCCCGGTAGGCAAGTGGTTGACCTCCCCAGCGGTCTGATTATGTCAGTATTTCGGTGCTCAAAACGGTACATTTTTTTGCATGGAAATATGTTTTTTTTTTTTATTGTAGGCTGTAATTTTTAGGAATAACTCACTGAAATCTGTCCGAGCAAGAGTCTAGTAAACATCCCGGGTAGGATAAAACTTGAAACATGAAAATTAAATTATAATATAATAAATCATAAAAAATAATAATAAATTTAATTCAATAATGTAATCAAACCAAAAACACTGAAATGTGAAATAGAGCGTCAAGTTCGCACATCGCTGAGCTCAGTCGCAGAATCATTTTCAGTGTCTGATGAGGAATTTCCCCCACGAGTCATTATCACTCAATTGTGCAAGTGGTTCTGATTTACTATCGCTGTTCTCTAGCCGGTCTAAAACCGCTTTTGACCTAAAGGGACGCTTTTTGGACGCCATGGACGTTTCTCAGTTTCCAGGCAGAAAGAACAGTAAAAATGCAGGCAGGGCGCCGGACAAAGCACTCGGGACAAAATGTATGTGAAATGGTTTGATACAGGAATGGAATACTATCAGATTTTAGTGCATTTAGTGAATGTCACATTTTAAAGTTTTTGAATTTCCTGGCAATTCCGTCCCCCGTACTTCCCAGGGAACGGAACCCAGAAGAGAGATGCCGGCATCAGCCGGAGGACATTGCCGGGGACACTGCAGGAGGGACATCGCGGGAGCGCAGGACAAGGTAAGTGAAGAAGGGACCCCGGAGCAACGCTGCAGTGTATTCCTGAGTGTAGCTCGGGGTTACCGCTTGTGGTACTGAAACTTTACCCCGAGCTACACTCGGGAATACCACCAGGGGGGTTAAAGTGGAAGTAAACTTCCACTAGACACTTGAACCTACAAGTAGGCTTATAAAAAAGCTTACCTATAGATACAAGGAATATATCCTAAACTTGCACCATTTAGGAGATATTCAGGGTCCCTGCATCCGATGATGTCACCGATGCATGCGTTCTGAAGCATCGGCATACCTGTGCTGTTCCTTCAGAGCTCTGTGGCATGGCTGAGACTCCTGCCCACATGCGCGGTAGTGACGTTGTCGCGGCTCAGCCAATCAAGCCCTCAAACCGAATAAGAAGACCAGGTGACAATGGAAGCCTCTACAGCGGTGACAGCTAGATGGTAAGTCTTCCTTGTGTTAGTATGTGATGAACACTGGCGCATTATAACATGACTTTGCAGAGGAAAATTAAAAAAAAATTTTTTTTGGAGGTTTACTACTGCTTTAGGCTCTGGGTTTCCCTTCACAATACCAGCTTTTGGGGTGCCTCCTCCCTTCTATATCGCCACCAATAGAAGAGACCATGGACCCATAGATACAAGTTTGTGGACCATTGTTGCTTCTTGGTAAAGTCTGGACCTCCTAGATCCATGGGATGGCCAAGCATTACCTAATAGGGTGGTATTTGGCTTGGAACTTTATTAAGCTGGTGTCTTCCATATTTGGCAACCATAAGCTACACAAAATAAATAGATAAAGTGATGTGGTTCTGCTGATATACATCAATCCGTCACAATAGACTACCAAAGTGAATGCAGTGTGCTCATAATAATGAAGTGAATAAATACAGATACCATACATTACTGCAAAGAAATGTGGATTCCCTGATGGTCGCGTGACGGTGACGCAACGCGTTGGGGGCGGGCGGAGGCAGATTAAGGAAGTAAAAGGATTGATCTGTCAGGGATCGCCGCAGCACTGGTCCCGGCGCAGGTGCAGTGCGCCGCCTCGCACAGGAATGCGGGCACTGGGTCCGGGCTGGCCGCGGCAGCGAGCCCGCGCATGCGCACTGAGTGACGCGGCGGTGAGCTCGCGCATGCGCACTGGGTTCTCCATTAGCCGGTGGGCCCAATCCTGGGGTTCGTCCTGCAGTAATGTGATTATGAACCCCACCTTAACCGACTGTCGTAAATGTGCGGGGTTGTGAATCAAAAAACAGGAGACAGGAGTTTCGGGAGGCCCTAAAACGTGCACGGTCACTGCGAAAACGTTCAGTCAGGGCCGCCAAGTGCCTACAAATGTCCTCCAGTGGGGAGGGTCCCCCTCCAGGTTCAGTCATGGCCGTTCGGTACTGTAAGGGACCGCCCGGCGGTACCTCTAGCAATCCACTGGTCAGGTGCTTTCAGAGCGCGGAGTCTAAGTCCCAGAGCACTTGTTCACCAGGGCCCCTGATTGTGGGGATGGACTTGGAGCGCTCAGAGACCAGGTCGCGACTACTGGGCACACTCACCACTGGTAGAGGTATCCGCCGAGGGCTCCCGCAGAGTAAGAGCCTGATGTGAGGAGGTCGGGTGGTCCCGACGGGATGGATGGCTGAGCAGGTGCAGAGTCAAACAAGCCGGGTCGGGAGCCGTGGGGTCTGCGAGGTACAAAATAGCGGGCAGAGAATAGTCGGGTCACACGCCGGGTCAGCAACAGTAGATCAGAATAAACGGGGGGCATCCAAGAGAGAGGTCAGGCAAGCCAAAGGTCAGGGCAGGAGAAGACAGCAGGGTCAGACAATCTGGGTAAGCAACTCACAGCAATACAGGTACGCAGATCAGGAACAGGAATAGACCGAACGGCACCCAATGACAGCTCAGGGCGATTTAAATACCGCGCCCTGTGCTGTCATTGGTGCCCGGCGCGCACCCGCGTCACCCAGTGCGCATGCGCGGGCTCGCCGCCACGGCCGGCCTGGACCCAGTGCCCGCATTCCTATGCAAGGCGGCGCACTGCGCCTGCGCCGGGACCAGCGCTACGGCTATTCCTGACATCTCCTATCTGTAAAGCGCATCTAATTTTACCTGAATGTAAGTGCGATTTTAATAAATATGGAGTCTTAATAAATAAAAAAATAAACACATATTATACATCGCTACAAATAAATGTAGATAAATAAATGCTAAAGCGCTTCACATGCATTTGTGTTTAAGTTCATGTATTTCCATATGACACACGATCCAACACCATAGATGCAAATCCGAGATAAATGTGAATTTCATGCATTAATTGGTGCCACTTCTGTGCTCTCAGAACTCTCACCTCCAACGCATGTAAAAACTGCATATTTTTAATGAGGTCTCCACAGTAGATCACGATTTTCTTTAGCCACAAGGGGCTGTCCACTCCTCCTCCTCCCATGCAATGGATTTTTAAGGTAGTATTAGAGTCCTCCGTTCCACCGGACACCAGTAACCTCACCCAAAAGAAAGTACGCCTCATACAGTTTAGTAGATTAATAAAAGACTCAATATTTATTAAAATCGCACTTACATTCAGTTAAAATTAGATGCGCTTTACAGATAGACCAATCCTTTTACTTCCTTAATCTGCCTCCGCCCATGCCTGACGCGTTGCGTCACCGTCACATGACTTCATCAGGGGGTACACATTTTTTTGTAGTAATGTATGATATCTGTATTTATTCACTTCATTATTATGTGCACAGTGCGTTCACTTTGCTTGTCTATTATGACGGATCGATGTATATCTATTAGCAGCGCTACATCACTTTATTTTGTTTGTATTGTGCAAACACAATTGATGTTGGCAGCAGCATTCACAGAAATTGGCTATTTTGCATATTATTTAGTAGGTGCAGAAGTTCCTTTCACTTATTGATTCATAAGCTACACAATATTCAGCTTCATTTTGTGGAAAGTTTGTCTAAGTGGATTAAATTGCCATTTGGTGAAGAATGGAGAGTTCCATGCTATACGGAGTTATGCTACGCTAATTTTGGGCAACTATAAGGCACCCCTTCCAACGGATCCTTCCAGCAACAACTACTTGTGGTTGCCATAGCCCACCTTTGGATGTGTATACACACTATGAGAGCTCCCATGGAGGTTCTATCTGGAGACATTTTTTATGGACTCTAAGGGTTTTTTTTTTTAAACTAAAACATATTGGTGCAAAATCTTTTGCAGCTGTGCACAGAAACCAATCAGCTTCCAGGTTTTATTGGCAAAGCTTAATTGAACAAGCTGAAGTTAGAAGCGGATTGGCTACCATCAGGGCTGCTGTTAGAAACCACGGGGCCCCATACAGCCAACCTGAGAGGGCCACCTTCCCCCCCTAAAAAACCCCCACAGTTTTCTATGCTTCAGTTATGAACGAACACAGTGAGTGATCCGTACCAATCACTCATTGTGTTCATTCAGGAAAGGAAGGGGCTAGTAATTGTGACATTTACCGGACCATTCCTCTCCATCCTGAAGGATCCTATTGTGTGCTTGCAGCTGTCAGTGGGAAGGAGAGGAAGGAAGCTGGCAGCACTGTGGGGGGTTGGGGGCACACATCGGGGGCCTGGGCAGCAGGGGGAAACATGGTGCACCGGGAGGGTGATGGGTGCAGTGGGGGAGGGGGCAATTACTGGAACCGAACCCCTGTATGGCTCTCTCTCTGAAAGCCAGCAGGATGGAGAGCAGAAGAAGCCAGCTTTCAGCTGCTGCAAAAGAGCCATGCAGGGGGATTGGTTCCAGTAATTACCCCCTCTGCCATGCCAATCACCCTCCCTGTCCACATCTGAATCACCCCGCTGCCTGGGCCCCCCTGCTGGCCTGGGACCC